CCCCCCCAGCAGTTCCTTGGCGAGGACTAGTCACCAGAAAGGCGGCCGCTTTTGCCTACAAAGTTAAAAAACGGTGATCGAAGGACCAATTTGTTGGAGAATTTGGCCATTTCTCACAGTTAAAGGGGGGGCGGTGGACGCCCCCCCAGAGGCTTCACCACATGCTAGGGGGGGGGTCCCGCCCCCCCCAGAACCTTCACCACATGCTGGGGGGGGGGGTCGTGGCCGAGGACCCCCCACAGAGACTCGTGGTCAGAACCCTCCGGGCCCTTGATTTTACGCCTCATTTCGCAGCATTTTCGAGGGGAAAATCATCCTTTGGAGCTACATGAGCCTTGAGACTGGTCAGATTCTCCAAGATATTGGACTTTCAGCCACGATTTTACAACTTTGGGGGCAAAATCGGTCGGCTCTCTGGCGACAATTCCTAGCCCACGAACTGCTGGGGGGTGCCCACCACATGCTAGGGGGGGGGTCCCGACCCCCCCAGAGGCTTCACCACATGCTAGGGGGGGGGTCCCGACCCCCCCACAGAGGCTTCACCACATGCTAAGGGCGCCCCACCCCCTGGAAGCGATGTGCGCCTGCTCTTTTGCGACCCCTCCCGGAGGGCCCTTCCGACCCCTCTCGAGCCCTCCCGCCACGAAGATCCTCCCCTGTCCGACCGTCCCTCCGAGCCCACCCGGCGTCCGGGGAGGGGGTTAGCCCTGTGGAGCCCTCCCGACGCCGATCCGACGGGGACCCCTCCAGCTCTGTGGGCTGGCGAGCCCTCCGGTCGGAGGGGTGGAAGTGGGAGGGCTCGAAGACGGACCTCTCTCGCTCCGGGAGGGTGGAGGGGTGGAGGGGTGGTTGAGCCCTCTAGCTCTGTCGATATAGCCCTACGGATACCCCTCCCGCCGTTTTAGGGCCTACCCACCCGCTATGGTCCTGGGGGCCTAAGATCTAAGTGCACTGAGACGACTGTTCCAGGCATGTGAGATGTGTTTAGCGAGTTTTGCCCGTAGGTTTTGCCTTTATCTGAGCCCTGGCCTGACAGCCAAACAGTAAACCCGGACAGCACCTGACAGCTGGCCTGCCCGACAGTCGGACACTGACAGCACTATCTCTGATAGCCTGACAACGAGCACCGAAGCAGTCTCGGGGACGATGAACTTCTGGCCATCGGCTCGATGGCCGTTCCGATAGAGTTTGATTCGCATCCTGATTCAATCGTCTTTGCTCGCAGCTCCAGCGTCGAGACGCACGGACTCACCTACCTCCGTCTGCCGCACGCCGCTCTCTCTCCCCGGAGGCGGGCAGCGAGTGGAGCGCCGCCGGTCCCAGAGACGATGCCGTAGCGATTCTTCGCGCAATCGCGGCAACGATTCTTCACAGGGGTTTACACTGATCGCTCTGTTTTTCCTCTTTTGGTGCCTCACCGATTTCGCACGGCAAACTAGGCATCCGGGCGCAAGCAAGAGGAGGGCTTACTACTTCCTTGGGACCCCTCCACTTCGCCCTCACAAATAAAGTACGAACTCCGGAGAGTGCTATTAGAACCAACTAATCACCGAGAAAGCGGATAGAAAACAAGAACACAACGCACTCTCTCACATGACAAGCGATCCCACGACAGCGAGTGTGCTGTGTGGGGACTACATGATCCGTACGTGAAGGGTGGAGGGGCCCGTCCGTCCGCAGAGCTAGGCGGCGCGGGCACCCCCCACTGGGGCCGAGGACAAGAGGCCGTTTGCCGCTTGCTTGTTCTTGATCCAGTTGGTGCGCACAGTGCGCGCCTGCTTGTTGATGTTTTCGGCGTCGCCCGCCACCGCCGCCATGGAGATCTGCTGCGTGTGGTGGACGACGAAGGAGGAAGCGCTCGCCGACGCCGCCCCATACACCGTCGTCCGGTCCGTGTTGGTGCCCACCGCTTCCTTGGCGAACACGTGGAGGAACTGCTTGGTGGGCGGCGCAATGCCACCCAAAGTCTCCACGAGCACCAGCCGCGTTATGGCTTTCTTGACCCACTTCGCGTCGTAGTACTGCGCCCCCATCGCATCCATTTCCAGCCTGCACTCTTCTTGACCCACCCGTCTCCATACGGGGGCGTGGTCTTTGACCCATCCCTTTCCAGTCGAGTGGTCGAGCGTTCCGTCCACCTGACGGCCACGCTTCTTGCACCCCACGACCGCCGTCAACGCCTTGTCGAGCGTGTTTCCAAACCCGTAGAGGTGGCCCACCGACGCCACACTGCCACAGAACACTCAAACGGGCTTGTGGAGCAGAGCCACACGCTACGCAGCAGCCCTAAGATGCCCTGAGCACACGTGCAAGCGCCCATGATCATATCTCGTCGTGCACTGCACTCGCCTGACAGTAGTTTGCGGAAGACCGCCGCCAGCATGTCGTCGCACCGGCGCTGCCGGTGGGCGAAGGCAGCCACCGCGGGTCCAGCAGCGCGAGCTGGTGTGCATCCGCGCTCCCAGAGTATGTCGGTGGATGGCCTTGACCAGGCCTGAGCAGCTCAGGAGTGGAGGCAGCCTCTGTCTGGACGAGCAGCGCTGGATCGCCAAACCAGCAGAAGAGCGCCGAGCGGCGGCGCCGACTCCGTGAGGGCCACTCCAACTCGCACATCTCAAGCTGTATCTCGAGAACGGCTCACGGGAGAGAGAGTAAGCTAAGTACGTAACTCACGGGAGGGACGTATATATCTTAGCGAATTCACAGCCTTGTTATTGAGAAGAAAATACCTCGTATGGCGCTGTGCGCTGGTCTGTGAGAGGCTGAGGTGCGAGCCCTGGAGGCCCTGGGGATATTCACATACCTTGATGACATTGAGAAGAAAATACCTCTCCTATCTCTCGGGCGCTACGCGGCCTACGCGGCGCTGGTCGGTCTATGAGAGGTTGAAGGTGCAAGCGCTGGCCTGTGGAGGTTGCGTTGGACGAGGCCCGCGCGCGTGTGCAGGGGATGGGCGGAGGCAGGCTACCCGCAAGCCTAGAAGGCCCCCGCGCGCGCAGGGGGGTTTCACATGCACATGTGCATGCACATGTGCATACGAAAAGACAGTACACGTCAGTACACAACGATCAAGTTTGACACAATCGAGAACATGCACACCTGGGTAGAGGGTGCGAAATAATACCAGCGGTGGCGTCAAGGACCCGCGGTCGCCGCATGCGCGAACACCTCCTTCATGACACGGGGCAGCTTCGCCACGTCCTGCACCGCAAAGCCCTGCCCGAGCGGCAACTGCTCGGCGAGCCACTCGGCGGCTGCGGGCTCGGCCACGAAGACGCAGTACGCGCGCACGTGTGGGTTGCTACGCAGCGCCTCGCCAATCTCCTCCGGGCTCACGTCGTACCGGCCGAGGTTCGCGTCGGAGAGCAGGACAACGATGCGCTCGTCCGCGTCCGCCCGGCCGGCCGCCTCGACGGCGCGGCGCACCGCCTGCAGCGAGTTGTCGCCCGAGGGCGCAGACCACGCATGCGCGAAGAGCGCGCCGACGACACGCGCGCGCTCCCCCTCCTCCGCACCTGCTGTTGCGCCGCCCGCGCGTCGGCGTCTTCCCAGCGCCAGCCACCGCGGAGGGCGAGAGTGGGAGGCGCGCCGCTCGACGAGAAGGTGACCCGCGGCAGCTGCTGGACCGAGAGGAGCGCGTCCTTGCCTGGCCTCGGGCAGACAATCGCGGCGCTCTCCTCGCCGCCCGGAAGCGGCACGGCGGCGGCGATGTGGCAGTCCGCCTCGGCGTCAGAGGCGAGAGGAGAGGCTGGGTCGAGCTCAAAGAGCCACGCACGGGGCGTCGCGTCGATACAACCGGCGAGCTGCAGCGCGCAGAGGTGCGCCGTGCTGTGCGCGCCGCTCGCCGCGCCCTCCTCCGCGCTGCCCATGAGCCGCAGCTGGAGCAGCAGGCCGGCGGGGCCTCCCACCTCACCACACGGGCCGAGGACGCGCCCCCCCGCGACGACCGCTCCGCGCTGCGCCAGCTCTGCCGGCAGAGCGATCGAGTAAGCGGTGCCCGCAGCAGCCCCGCCCTGCTCGCCCCACCGCGCGAGGCGCACCGCGAGCACCGAAGCCTCGCCGCGGCGCATCGCCAGCAGGCAGCCCGCCGCGGTATCAGCGCCCGCGGCGAGCAGCGCGTGCGGACGGCGGCCGCGCTGTCGGCGGAGGAGGGCGCCGGTCCACGGCACCGGGTGCACCGCTCCGCCGTGGAAGCTCTCGGGGAGCTCGACAAAGGAGGCGGCGCCGATGGCGGCGCCGTGCGTGTCGTCGGCGCGGTTGGGCGGCCGCAGGCGATAGATCGCGCCGCTGCCGGCAGGGTGGAGCAAGGCCTCGTCCGCCTCGACGCCCTCGGCGAGCATGACGTCGAGGCTGCCCGTCTTGCTCGCCAGCTCCAGCGTCGAGACGGACTCACCTCCGTCTGCCGCGCGCCGCTCGCGCGCCACGGAGGCGGGCAGCGAGTGGAGCGCCGCCGGCCCAGAGGCGAGGACGTGGATGGCGCCTCCTCGCGCGAGGCACGCGACGCAATGCGGCGCACCCTCCTCCTCGCCCCACAAGAGCTGGAGCTCGCGCACCTCCTCCGAGAAGGCTGCTCCGGCGCGGCCCTCGACCGCCTCCACGGCGCTGCCGAGGGGGCGCACACGCTGGTCCGACGGCGCGAACTGGTAGCTCACGTTCCGGGCCTTGAGCTCGTGCGACGTCACCTCACACGCCAGCGGCGCCGCCGAGTCGCGACGTCCGTCCACCGGCTGTGCGGCGGGCAGGACGACCTCCCTCGCCAGCTCGACCGTCAGCGCCGGCGCCGCCCCGCCCGCGGCGTCGAGGGCGATGCCCTGCCGCGCGAAGGCGGAGCGCAGCTGCTCGGTGGCGACGGGGTCCATCGCGTCGAAACTGGCGACGTTGCCCAGCGCCTGCCCGACCGAGTCCTGCGGGAAGGCTTGCAGATGTTTGATGACGGACACCTGTTCCCGCACCGAGAAGGGGTACGCCAAGAGCCCGTCGCGCACGAGGCAGCGGAGCTCGTCAAAGGCGCCGACGATACGCCGGTGGACGTGGGGCGGCACGCTGGTGCCGAAGGGCGCCATCAGCTCGAGTTGCGACGCGGCGTCCGGGTTGTCCACCACGTGCGCCGCGAAGACGGTGCCGCACTCTCTGAAGAAGTCGTTGCCGAGGAAGGGGAAGCCGGGCCGGTTGGCGAGGGTGAGGACGCGGAACCGGTCGTGGATGATCACGTCCTCCTCCCTCAGCAAGCTCCCCTCGGCGGCCGCCGCCTCGGGCGAGAGGACGCGCCGCCCATCTGAGAGCAGCATTTGGCCATCCGCGAGCAGCGACTTGAGCACGGCCACCACCTCGAGCGGCGCTTTGTCAGCCTCATCCAGCATCAGCACGTGGCCGTGCCGCAGCGCGAGCACCAGGGGGCTGTCCCGCCACTCGACGGCGCCGCCGACGAGCTCCGCCTCGACGGTGAGGGACTGGACGGTCGAGTCGCGGTGCAGCTGCATGTACTGGCGCTCGAGCCGCAGCAGTTGCAGCAGCCGGTCGGCGAGCTTGTTCTTGCCCGTCCCTTGGTTGCCGATGAGCAGCACCGCGCGCTCGCCGGCGACGAGGTCGGCGGCGAGGTCCTCGAGGAGGCGGAGGTGCGTCGGGTTGTCGTGAAAGGCGGGGTCCGGCACCAGCTCGGGCTGAGAGACGGAGTCGGGAAGCGGCAGCCTCGCCCGCCCGATCGCGATGCTGCGCTTGCCGCCGTCGCCGCTAAGCTCGCAGACGCGCACCTCTCTCGCCGCATCGAGCGCCGCCACCGCCGCGCACTGCTCCTCAATGCCCAACGCCGCGACCACCGGCTGCAGCGCCCGCGCCACGCGCGCCTCAAAGTCCGCGATCAGGGCGGGGCTCATCAGTCCGGCGCAGAGAGACCGGCGCACACCGTGCTGCACTGCGAGAAGCTGGGCGGCGGCAAGCTCGGCGCCGCCGGCGCCACCGTCGCCCGCCGCCGCCGCGCGGCGCGCCACTCGCTTGAGCTGCCGAGGCGAGAGGGAGAGCCCACCCGGGGGAGCGCCAGAATATGAGTCGAGGGCGTCCCCGCCGGGAACGGACGTGTCGAGGGCGTCAGCGATGCAGAGCAGAGCCTCCCGCGCCGCCGGTTGCAGCGCCGGGCACAGCGCGGCGAGCCAGTCGGCCATCTCGCCCTCGCCGATCGGCGGGAGCTCGTGCCACGCGAAGAGAGGGAGCAAGTCCGACGAGAGCCAGCGGTCGGTCGGGCTCGGAGGCTGGGCGAGCGCGACGACGCGGAAGGATGGGTGGACTCGGCGGACCGAGCAGCTGTCGGCGAGCTGCTGCGCGGTGAGGCCGAGCCGCTCCCGCAGCGCGTCGAAGTGGCCGGCGCGAAGGAGGCGAGTGCCGTCGTGCAGCGTCGCCTCGCCGTCGAGCAGCAGCTGGTGCAGCGAGGCGAGCCCGTCGGGTCGCAGCCGGTGGATGCCGTCGAGGACGCAGAGGTCGCCCGCGAGCGCCGCCTCGACGAGCGGCGAGTCGCGCCAGCTGGTGTTGCCCGCCGTGTCGAGGGTTCTAGCTGGCGGTACAGCGGCACCGTCCGCACGCGGTAGCCGAACGCCGCGCCGAACCGGTGCGCCAAAGCGCTCTTCCCTCCCCCGGCGGCGCCAACGAGGCAGAGGTGCGCCCCGCTGGCGTGGTCCTCCGCCATCGCAAGCAGGCAAGCGCGCAGCGCCGGCGTCTCCACCCACGCCTCGCCGCCGCCGACCGCCCCGCCGCTCGCCGTGCCGTGCAGAGCACCGACAGGGACCTCGACGCCGCGCGTGCACCCGAGCCCGACCCTCGCCGTGACGCCCTGCCCCGCGATGACGCCCTCGACGACCGCGCCGTCCGGCTCCACGACACTGGCAGGCCGCCTTTGGCCCTGCAACTGGGATGGCGGCGGCATGCCGGCAGCCTCGAACGCCGCCGCCACGCCCGCCGCCTCCGGCGCCTCGAGCCCCATCAGCCGGTGTGGAAAGCTGCGGTGGAGGAGGGGTGGCAGTGCGTCGCCGCCGCCGCAGTCATAGTGCGCCGGGAAGGAAGCGAGGACTCTGGCCGCCCGCCGCAAGGAGCAGTCGCTGAGGTGGAGGAGCCTTCCTTCCGCCTGCCCGCCACCGCTCCCTCTCGCCGCCGCCCGCACCGCCTCTGCCCAGCTCACAAGGCTCTGCGCCGCACCCCGCGGCGCCGCCTCGCGGCTCGACGAGAGCAGCGCGCGCACCGAGGCGAGCTGCAGCGCGGGCGGCGGCACTCCGCAGAAGAGGCCTTGGAAGCGAGAGCGCAGCGGCGGGTCGAGCGGGAAGCCGGCAAAGGCAGGGACGGGCAGCCCGGTGGCGATGACGCGAAAGTCGTGGTGGACGCGCACGTAGCCTCGAGCGGCGAGAGAGGCGTGCGTGTGGTCGCCGCTCGCGAGGAGCGCGTCGAAGCGCGCTGGCGACATGAGGAAGCGACCGTCGGGGAGGCCCATCTCCCGGTTCTCGAGCAGGTTGTTGAGCGTGGGCAGCACGTTGCGCTCCGCCTTTTCGACGCCGTCGAGCAGCAGCAGCCTCCCGGCAATGGCGGCCCGAACGGGCGCCGCGTCTACATAGTAGACGTTGCCGTCCAGCACCTGCCGCCGCTGCTTGAGGTCGGCCTCGGTGGTGTCGGACGAGAGCGCGAGGCTCTCCACCTCGCGGCCCGCAACCTCCGCCCAGCGCAATGCCAGCTGCCGCTTCTGGCCACCCGGAGGCCCGATGAGCAACACGTCCTGCCCGAGCGCCTCCTTCTGCGCCATCCACCGGAGGTGCTGCGGAGGTGCGGGAGAGCCGGCTGCAGCAAAGGCGTGCGGCACGAGGTGTGGCGTCTTGGCAGCCGAGACCTTGACAGTCACGTCGGCCACGCGGACGGAGGCAGTGCAGAGTCGCCTCGTGGGGAGCAGCCGCATGACCACTACAGCATTCGGCCGTCTCAAGTGCGGTGCATGCTGTAGTGTTCGAAGAGCGTGGGTTCTCGAGTTCTCGACGTGGATATCCTCGCGCGTTGGGTAGCGAGGTCGGTGTGAATTACGCGCGAGCTGCGTGGAAGACGCGGCGATTTTCTCGGGCGGCTATGTACTCTCTCTTCCATCATGTACTCTCTCTCCATGTACTCTCTCTCTCTCTCTCTCTCCCTCCATCTTGCATCTATGCTTCGACTCACCTAGATGCTAGAACCTCTGTTCTTCACCCTCCAGTGTCAAGAATTTCTTGTTGGTTAATAAAAATCTCTCTCTCCCCAGTGTCCAGATTTGTTGAGTGCATGGGACTTTTCTTTTTCGAAATCGTTCTATAGGTCTACCCTCGTGGAGAAGCTCACTTCTCTCGTCTCACTTTACTCGCCAACCGCTCCACCAGCCCGTGCACGAACTCTCACTCAGTCACCGCCAACGTACCTCGATATGATCTCCGTGTTGCCGTCTCGAAAGGTTGCCCCGTTGCACTCCTCGATGCAGCCTCTCGTCAAGGAGAGCTCGTCCACACAAAAGTCTGCCGGCAGCCGCCGCGGCCGCCCCTCGATCGGCTTCGCGACGTAGCACGAGAGCATCCGCGCGCGCCTCGCCGCGGCGACCACAGTCGAGTGGTCGCTCACGACCATCACCTATGGCACGCCGTGCCGCCTGAGGATGGCGGTGCACCCCAGCGGCGCCGGACCTCCGCCGCAGAGGCGCCACCGAGCCGGGAGTGAGGTCGAGGGCCTCCGCCACCTCGCCCAGCGCCTCCGCCTCGCCGCGCCGCGCTCGTGCGGCCGCGGCCGGGTCGAGCGACGTGGCGAAGGGGGGCACCTGCAGCGACTCGGCGAGCGAGGCCGCCTGCGCCTCCATCCGAGCCACGTCATCGTCGTCGTCCGACGGGAGTAGCAGCCGGAGCATGCCCCTCATGTCGAGGTAGTGGAGCAGGTCCTTTGCGCCCGGCTGGAAGGCGTAGCCGCCCGTGTCCACCTGCGCTCGCCGCTCGCTCTCTGAGTGCCGGCGCACCGCCTTCTCGCGCTCCTTCTCGACACGTCCAAACTCGGTCATGAGGAGCGGCCCGCCCGCGTCGGCGTCGCGGCCGTGGTGCAGGAGCTGCGCGGCTCCACGCGAGCGGAGTTTGTCGGCGTACTTGTCCCGCGGTGAAGCGGCGCCGGCGCTGGCAGTTGCCTCCACGGTGACTGCAGCCTTGGCAAGGAAGTCAGTCAGCCTGCCGACGAGCTCGTCTCGGTCGCCAACATTGCTGAGCCCCTGCTGACGGCAGTGGTCGCGCAGCTGAGATATTAGCATGGAAGAGATTGTGTCAGCGCGAAGGACGTCGGGCTCGATGATCGGAGCCGCCGGCCTCGATTGCTCCTTCCGCGCGCGCTCGTGAGGGTGGCGCATGAGCACGCGGGCGTCGAACAAGAGAGCTCTCACGCTGAGACGGCCACCCACCTTCCAGGCGAGCGATGTGGAGCCCGTGCCGAAGCTCATGTACGTATCGCTGGCTTCTACCCGGTACCCGGGTACAGTGGGTTGCGTTATTCCGCGAAAATCTAAGAAACCACGCGGCCGCAGGCGCGGCCCCGAGAAAAGGCCAGACGAGTGTGAACGGGAGCCTCAGCCGAAAATTTCTCTTCGCCTGCGGCGCGCGCACTTGTCACTTTCCAAGTCTGCGGTGTTCTGAGTGGAGTGCGAGTGGATGGAGGCGTGTGTGCGTCTCCCGTCATCCAGAGAGCCGACTCGGCGGCAGACTCTGGCATCGCCCTCGCCGCTCGCGGACCGCAGCTTACCTCTTACTTGAGCACTTGAGCACTGGATAGGGTCGGTTCCGCATGGTACGGGACCCCTCGATCGTCTCGCCCACCCTCACTGGTGTGTTCATTGGGGGGGGGCATAACAAACACGGTACAGGATCGAGGTGCACGCTGCCAAAGCAGTGTCGTCCCCCCTCTCCCCGACGGCGATGGCGGTGTGACCGATCGAGCTACAAGAGGAACTTGTTCAGCAGGATGCCAGGATCCGGGCCGTCGGATGCACTACCTCACTGGGCCTGAGACCACCGCACGGCCAGCCCTTCACCACTCCGGGTTTGCGTGGAGTCGTGCCTGCAGGAGGCTGTGGCCGCGCGCGAGCGCGCGCTTCGGTCAGTTGTAGAATGGACTTTTTTGTAGAATGGAGAGTATGCATGTGTGGCACGCGCGCGGATCTTTGGGCCGGTGTTGAACGAACATTTTTATGGCCGTATCGTCGGCGGGGAAAAAGAAAGAAAGAAAACAGACAACCCAAGGGAGGGATGGGAGGACGGCACGCCGCCACCACACAGGGATTTTAAGGAGAGGAGTGATGCGCTAGCCGTCGCCCACCCTAGGGAGTCTGCCTCTTCCTATCTCTCTTCGCAGTCTCTCGCCGCTTCTCGCTGCAGCCTTCATGCCACCTCTGTGAGAGAGAGTGCATGTTTAAATTCTTTCCTGCTTCCGGGACGCTCGAGGGTCTCGCAGTGGTGCGCACTGAGACGATGTGGCACCTCCTGCTTCTGCTGCTGATCGGCTATGCGCGTGCCTACGTGATGATGCACGCACCGCCGTCCCGTGTGGCGGCCACCATGCCCGCTGCTGCCGCCGATGCCGTCGTCGTCGCTTCTTCTGGCCCCGTAGCCGCCGTCCCGGCGATCGCAGCAGCAGCAGCGTCCGCACGTGCGCGTGCCGTGAGAATGGGCCGCTCACGCGCGAAAAAGGTCTTCCAGAAGAAGGAGGCCAAGGCGGAGGCGCTCGAGGTAAGCAAACGAGCAGCGCCTCCGCTGCCGCCTGCCGCGGAGCTGCCGCCGCCGCCGCCGCCGCCGCCGCCCGAGGAGGAGGTGAACCCGGGTGCTGTCCCCGGCACCGCGCTGCGTATCCTGGAGTACCCGCACCCGCTGCTGCGCGCGCCGAACGCGGAGGTCCGCGACTTTGACGCCGGGCTGCAGAGACTGGCCAAGGAGATGTTTTCGATCATGTACGCCTCGCGCGGCGTCGGGCTCGCGGCGCCTCAGCTCGGCATCAATCAGCGGCTGATGGTGTTCAACCCGGAGGGGAGGAAGGAGAAGTGGCTGAGCGAGGTGGTGCTCTGCAACCCGCGCATCGTCGACTCGGGGCCGGGCGGGCCGGTCGAGGTTGAGGGGTGCCTCTCCTTCCCGGGCTTCACGGCGGACGTCGAGCGGGCGGGCTGGATCAAGGTCGAGTACCAGGACGCGAAGGGGAAGGTGCGGCGCAAGAAGCTGGTGGGCTGGGAGGCGCGCATCTTCCAGCACGAGTACGACCACCTCGACGGCGTACTGTACGTCGACCGGCTCTCCGAGGCGGAGCGGAGTCGGGTGCAGCCCGAGCTCGACCAGCTCATCGCGGCGCACGGACCCGGCGGTGCGGAGTAGCCCACGTCTGGGTCCAGCCAACGGCGCTATCCGAGCACTAATTTGGCGAGGGTAGAGGCGGCCGGGCGCGCGACTCTGTGTCCCCAGCTATAGACCGAGAGTCGAGAGACGATAGCTAGACAAAGAGATGTCCACGTGCGCCGGACCCGCCCCGCCCCCGGGCGACCGATCGTTCGAAACTCTCCATGTAGATATTTCTTGCGAAATAGGGTAAGATCGAGTTGTACCGCTAGCGGGGGGCGAGGGCTGTGGTCTATAATTTCAACACCGGCGACCGTCACAATGACTACAGTTAAACTTTAAAGAGAGCCTCTCGCCGCGGCGGCGGCCGGGGCGCAGAGCGCGGCTGGGCGCGGGCGCGAGCAGCCGAGAGGCCGAGGCCCGACTAAACGAGAACAAAGAATGCCTGCGCAGACGGCCCGAACGGGAAACGGCGGGTCAAACCTCGCCGTTGGCCTTCTTCTCTTTCCATACCTTGACGCGCCGCTCGTACCTTTAGGGGATGGGGCGGTGCAGGGGGGCTGAGCCCTTTGCGCAGAGCGCAGAGTTTGGCATGTGATTCAGGCCGCGGTGGGGGCGGCAGCAACGAGGAAGGGCGGTGACGGCGGCGTGTGCAGGGCGGTGGTAGGCGGCACGGAGGACGGCGGCGGTGGTGCAGGTGGCGGGGGAGAGAGGGTGCGCTGCGGGCGGCGCGCACTCGTGGTGCTGGCAGTGCTCATAGTCGTGGAAGAGGTCGCGGCACTTCCACGGGAGGAAGTAGGTGTCGTACCGGCACCTGTGGGTCGAAGAGGTCTGCTGGGCTCAGGGGCGGACGGTCGCGGAGCGGTGCGCGTGAGAGATGACGCTGGGAAGCGGCGGCGCACTGGTTGAGGGGGATGAGCAGGTGGGCACAGTTGTCGCGGAAGCCGAGCGGCAGCTTGGCGTCCTTCATCTGCTGCCTCGTCACCGCGGGCCCTGGGGACGCGGGAGGCCGGCCGGCGGTGAGCACAACACTGCGTGCGCAACGTCGAGCCGACGCGGACGGCGGCAGCGCGGACCGTGATGATCATCGTGATGCTCGGCGGCCTCCCGCATCTTCTCCAGCGCCTCCTTGTTCTCCGCGATCGCCGCCTGCATGGCGAACCGAGCGATCGAGCGCCGAGGCGAGCAGTCGTACGCCCCGTCAGAAAGAGAAACCGTTCTGCGGGGAGGGAAAGGGGCCCTCATCTGCTCGTCTCAGAGGGTACCCTCTGTGCCAAGAGAGGCCATCCACGAGCGGCTCAGAGGGTGCCTGAGCCGACCCTCTGAAGGCCTGTGCCGCCAAGCTAGCCTCTCTCGGCGCACGCAGCCTCTGAGGCTGGGGGGGGCCTCTGAGACGCCAAGGTAAGCCCCGCGAGGCCGCTCCTCAGAGTGGGTTTTCAGCGGTATTTCAAATCTGTCGTGATCTAGGTCGTGATCCCCCACCAAGCAGAGAGACCCCCCCCCCCCCCCCAGCTTCCATTTTTCGGATACCTCAAGTTCGAGTTCACTAGGACGCCGCGCCCGCGGCGCCTCATGGCCAAGCTGGAGCAGGGGACGGATGTGGAGATCATCACTACCTCCTCCTCGGGCGGCGCAGGGCTCGGCGCGGGCGCTGTGGGCGAGCCTGCAGCAGCAGCAAGCGTGTGTGGTGCCGGGCGCTTGAGCGTATAGAGTAGCGCCTACCCTTGAGCCTTGGTCATGCTCGCTGCTTCCGCCCCTCCCCGCCCTAGCTGGTCAGCGCCGTTCGTGGAGGGCTAGGCGCTCCGGCATTCTGTGCCGCCAAGCCAGGGGTCCGACGGGTGTCTTGTGGTTCTTGCCCAAAAATGCGGATGGTTTTTGCCCATGCACATTTTTTGCATGTTTGCATATGTTGCATTCACACATATCATGGCATTTGAACGCATTTTATAGTGCATTCAAGACTGCATTCTTCATTTTCTGCATTGTTTTCGAGAGGCAGCTGCATTTCAGCTCTGCATATGCATGTTTTGCATTCGGTGGGCAACTGCATTTCAGCTGCATATGCATTCTTTGCATATTCGGTGGGCAACTGCATTTCAGCTGCATATGCATTTTCTGCATTCTTTGCATTCGGTGGGCAACTGCATTTCAGCTGCATATGCTTTTTCTGCATTCTTTGCATTCGGCGGGAAACTGCATTTAGTTGCATGGATTCACTGACACACGGCCTCCATTGCGTGTGCACCTAATCCTCCAAAAAGACAATGATGTCCCTCCCAGGGCGGTGCTGGCTGTCTCGGTCGACCACAATCTCGTTCTCCGTGCGCAAGTAAGCAACCGCAGCGCGAACATCAGTGCGGGTCAAGTGCCTGTTCGCCGAGCTGACAGTGCAAAATAAGTCGTCAAAGGAGCACCTGAGCTCCCCCTCTTCCCCATCTCCCCAGCCCCCTCCCCGACCGCGCGGACAAGAGCAACGACGGCGGCGAGGTCAGAGTGGTCAGCAGCAGATGAGGTGTGGAGGGACCGGACGAAGTGCTGCTCGCGGTGGGTGCCGGTCGCGGGGGGCGCCGGGGGGGGGGGCGCTAACAGACCTCTTGCGCCCGCCTAGCCAACAAAATGGTGTATTATCATCTTGATGCATGCAAAATTCTACATTAGAGGAGGCAGGAACCGGAGCCAGATGGCCGAAGGGGTGGACTGCTCCGAGGACCTCCCAGATGCACTGTTATGCAATCACGCGCAAAATGCATCGAATGCATATGCAACGAAATGCAATCAGTGTTGTCTTTGCCCATGCAGTTGTAATGCAGGCGATGCATGCGAATGCAAAAATGCACTGCATGGGCAAAAACCACACGCATTTTGGGCAAGAACCACACTTTTCCCGGGGTCCGACCCCTCCTCAGAGGGGGGTCTGAGGCCTCAGCGTGTACAACCCCCTAGTGGAGCAGGAGAACTAGGAGAGCGTAACCAGTAGGAGGCCCGCGCCTGCCCCCGTGCCGCCGCGTGCAACCTGTCGTATACGAAAGAGGAATCCCTGGGACCCGGTCGTGTGGGTGAATCCTGCGCAGCCTCCCCCCACCGTGTCGCGATGCGCTCCCCGCTCCCGTCCCCTTGCCGTTGAGTTGTGTCCCTGATCGTCCTTCCAAGATCCTGCTCGTGCAGGCGGGGACCTGTCCCCTTCTCCCACCCCTCTTTGGCGTGTCCGATTTTATTTGTTATGGAGCTCTATGGACCTGGTGCCCCCCCCCCCCCCCCCTTCCCTGCTTAGGACTTAAGGTCCCTCGGGCCAGTTTCGGGGGGCAAACCCCGCCCGGCCCCTAGAACCCCAGGTAAGGCCCCGGTTTGGCCTAGGGCATCAGAAGGGACCAAGAGGCGTCCAGTCTGAGCCAAAGAGCCCTTTTTTTTCCCCCCAAAGTCTCGATCCAAATACCCGGACTGGACTGTACCCAAATGACGGGCCGCTCCTCCTCCTAAAACTCCCACGGTTTGGCCCCTTTCGGCCCGTCCGTTCAAAATATCTTAAGATCTGACCGGGGGATTCTCCCCAAACCTTGCTCAGCTGATCCAGCACGGGCCGTAGGCCAGCCCTGGGCAAAGAAACCAGTACCTCAACCGGCTTCCCTGAGCGTCACAGCTCGGTGATCGCGCCGGCCGGACACCACTGTAACGTCCGTTCCGGGCATTTGAACGCGACCTTCGGGGGCAAAGCAAAGACATGGGCTCTATGGCTCAGACTGGACGCCTCTAGTCTTGGTCCCTTCTGATGCCCTAGGCCACACCTGGGCCTTACCTGGGGTTCTAGGGGCCGGGCAGGGTTTGCCCGCCCGAAACTGGCCCGAGGGACCTTAAAAGAAAATTCCATTGCGATTGTCTGGGTGCAGACAGTGGGCGAGATGTGAGTCGGTGGGTGATGGAGACCAGTCTGGCACTGCTACGATACGAGCCCACGACGCCCTGCCTCGACGCGACCTTGACGGTGGCAGAGTCCAGCAGAGGCGGCGACAAGCAAACGGGGCACGTCAACGGTGCGCCGGCCGGGCAGTGCTGCTCGATGCACCCGCGGCAAAAGGCGTGGTGGCCGCACGCCGCCCGCCGTGGCCGGGTCGGCGGTGTCCTCGTAGCACAGGGTCGCCAAAGGCGTGCTCGGCCCTGCCTCCTCCGCCGCCCTCTCGACGGCGGGGGGCGCACCCAGCACGCGTCCGGGAGTTATTAGTTTGGAAGAGTGGTTCGATCCCACACGAATCCGAGACGGTGACGGGCGCTGTCTCGGTGATCTCAGGCCCAGTGAGGTAGTGCATCAGACCTGTCCCGGATCCTGCTGAACAAGCTCCTCTTGTAGCTCGATCGGTCACACCGCCATCACCGTCGAGGAGAGGGGGGACGACACTGCTTCGGCAGGGTGCACCTCGATCCTGTACCGTGTTTGTTATGCCCCCCCCCCCTGAACACTCCAGTGAGGGAGGGCGAGACGATCGATCGAGGGGTCCCGTACCATGCGGAATCGACCCTATCCAGTGCTCAAGTGCTCAAGTTTGGAAGGTGACCATGCGGAATCGACCCTATCAAGTGCTCAAGTGCTCAAGAACAGCCAGGCTCGGAATGGACACCACAGGCACCAGCGCGGTGTGGGTGGACGAAAGAAAACCGCCGCGCGCGGGAAGCAGTAGAGGCTGCGACTCGACCCCGCTCTAGTTGTGGCCCCGAGAAGCCCCGCCACGATGGAGGACGATGGAGATGTCGAGATCACCGGCGGCTCGGGCGTCAACGTGTCCGCCCCCCGCCCCCCGCCTCCCGCCTCCCTCCCCGCCCCGCCCCGCGCGCCGTTTTCGGCGCGCGCCGCGCACAACCACCCTGCCCGTCCGCAGGCCCTTCGTGACATGCCGCACCCGCGCCACGACTGCGTGGTGCACAAGTGGCCGCAAGGCCCGCCCGCGCAAAATAAGGACGCGTGCAAGCAGTTCTGCGCCAAGTGCTTTTGCTGTGTGCACGCACCCGCCCTCGCTGCGCCCTGCCACCCGCCGCGCGACCGAGCCGGCTGCGTCGCGCGCCCGCAGTCGTGTGCGACATCGAGGCGAGCCGGTGCGAGCACTGGGACCAGCACTGCCTCGCCGACGGCTCTGTCGAGTGGCTAAAGAAGCGCCAGCAGCGCCAACGCACGGAGGAGGCGAGGCGCAAGGGCGCCCAGGTGCTTTGCAGCCGCTCCCGCCGCCGCCGCTCCCTTCCCCCTCGCACCGCGCCCGCGGCCTGACTGCTCGCGCCGCGCGTGTGCAGGCTGGGTACGTGCCGCGCCCCGCCGACGAGATGCGGCGCTCGTTTGCCGAGGCGGCCGCCCCCTGGGAGTGTGGCTCGCGCACACCCACACCGCGTCCGCGACACGTCCACGACGCGGCCCCGCAGGCGGCCAACGAGGAGAACCGCCAGCAGGACATGTCGCAGGACGAGGAGGCGGCGGCGCAGGTGCGGGAGCAGGCGGCGGTCGAGGACGAGGACGCCGAGGATATGTTCACCGCGACGTGCGCGCCGCCGCCCTGTGCAGCCGAGCAGCAGCCGGCGGGCGGTCTTCCCACCCGTCTGCCCGCGACGCAGGTACGAGCCCTTCCACTTCAAGCGCGGCCAGCCGCACCCGGACCCGGTGGTCGAGACGACCTCGCTCTCCTTCGCGGAGCCGCCTCCGATCAAGTACGACCTCAACCTGCCCGACGGCATCTTCGAGCCGCGCGACGAGCTCGACAACCCCGCCGGAGGAGCGCTCTCCAACCTCCAGCTCGAGACGGTCGCGTACGCGTGCCAGCGGCACGAGTCGATCATGGCCAACGGCTGCCGCGCCGGCTTCTTCCTCGGCGACGGCGTCGGCCTCGGCAAGGGGCGGCAGCTCGCCGGCGTGATCGTCGAGAACTGGCTGTGCGGTCGCAAGCGCCACCTGTGGGTCTCCGTCTCGGCCGACCTGATGGAGGACGCCAAGCGCGACCTCAAGGACATCGGCTTCTCGCACATCGAGGTGAAGAACATCACCAAGCTCGACTACGGCAAGCTCGACAAGAAGGGGCCCAAGGGGATCCGCGAGGGCGTCGTCTTCGCAACCTACTCCGCGCTCGTCTCGAGCCAGCGCGGCGGCAAGACGCGCGCCGCGCAGATCGCCGAGTGGCTCGGCGGCGCCCAGGCCGAGGGCTGCATCCTCTTTGACGAGTCGCACAAGGCCAAGAACCTCGCGCCAGAGAAGAACGAAAAGGGCAAGCCGACCACCAAAAAGTCGTCCAAGATGGCCCTCACCTGCCAGAAGCTGCAGGCCGACTGCCCGCGCTCGCGCGTCGTGTACTGCTCCGCCACGGGCGCCTCGTCGCTGCAAAACATGGCCTACATGGAGCGGCTCGGCCTGTGGGGCGCCCACACCGCCTTTCCCGACTTCAACGCCTTCGACAAGGCCATCGGCGGCGGCGGCGTCGGCGCGATGGAGCTGATCGCGCTCGACCTCAAGCGGCGGGGCATGTACCTCTGCAGGCAGCTCTCCTTCTCGGCCGCCTCCTTCGACACCAAGATGGTCGACCTCACGCCGCGGCAGGAGAAGATGTACGACGAGGCGGCGGCCTTCTGGTCGGAGCTGCTCTGCGCGTTCAACTACGCCGTGCACGAGGCGTTCGGCCCCCCCCCGCGCGGGGGAGCCGCTAGTTCTAGAGCGACGCGGCGTGAGGTCGACCATCTTGGTGTCGAAGGAGGCGGCCGAGAAGGAGAGCTGCCTGCAGAGGTACATGCCCCGCGGCTTGAGGTCGATCGAGTTC